CTGAGATACTCTTTCACCCTAGAACTGAGCCTATCCCAAAATCACCTTTTAGTGAAACAGCAGTGCAGTATATACAATAAAGGATAGTACCTGTAAGAATGGTGTCCTACCACGCTTGATACCCTCATAAAGGGATAACTAAAAATATGGGTGCTGTAACAAAGTGTGGTGAAAAAATTAGGTGGTGCCTGGCTCTCAGAAAGAACAGCATCTGGGGGTCTTAAGAGCTTGTCTGAAAACAAGCAGTCATCAAAGTGAGGTGTCAGCTAAGCCCACATGGAAGCCCAGCTTTGAGATCCAAGGATTATAAATAATAAGATCAGAGGATGGAATTGTATTAGAGTTTAAATTCTGAGCACCTGGTTTGCAGAAGAATATGGATGACAGTGAAAGCCCAAAATCTATTTGCAGAGAAGTCCCCATGGAGATTAAGCAAGATTCCACGGAATTCCAGGGATATGAATAGCCTTGCACTCAGATAAGAGTACATCAAAAGTGAATTAATGCAGCTATGTTAAATTTTAACATTTTATTTGTTTTCCCTTTTGACCCATTTCTAATTTGTTTTTGTTTTTATTATTTGTAAAGATTTTTATTAGGATTTTTGTTTTATTTTGTTATTGTTGTTTTTCTTATGATTTTCTTTATATGAAATCAAGATAGGTAAATCTGTAGAGTAAATAGATTAATAGTCTCTTAGGGTTATGGGGAGCTAATAACAGTAAATACAAAATGAGTGTTATTTAAATGAATGTAGTGATGACTGCACAGCTTTTTAATATATTCAAACCACTGAATTGTATGGTATATGAATTATGTCAATAAAAACTGTTGGGGAAAAAATGTGCCCTACTTAAAAATCATTAGTATGAGGCCAAACGATCAACCATGACTCAAAAATAAAGATGAGATGAAAAGAGGGCAGGGAAACTAGATTACTAGAAAGGGATAAAAATGAATATAGTTACAGAGAATGCTGACACACTGTGATAAATGTAAATAATGCCTCCAAATAATTTGTGTGGAAATTGTTCAACGGGAACCTACTTTATAAGCTTTCATCAAAAACTCAAAACAAATGTGTTTAAGGGAGGATAAGGAGGGCAGGGATTCAGAATCACTATTTTCTTCTAATATTTTATAGGACTATTTGAGTCTTTAAATGATGTCCTATGCAATTTTAATACTTTTTTTAAAAATACTGATCACTAAAAAGGAGAAGATGAGAAGCCAAAATTTACATTGGTGGATATAGCAGCCCACCCAACTTGCCTAGCTTTTTAAAAAGTCTGGCTCTGTAAACCCCAGGCACTATTTCCTCATAGGTTACTAATGGAAACCAGGCCTCTTCCACAGAAGATCTTTGAGGAATCAACTAAAGACAATTGTTCCTTTTATGGAAAAGACCCAGCCCACCTTTTAAGTGGCATGGACATTTCACCTCATTCACTCAGGTGCAAGTCAGGAGTTGATAGGGAGGAAGTTAACTTCCTGCTGCCTTTCCCCACATGTTGCTCACTAAAGCGAATCCTCTGCTAAACCTAAGTTTGAGAGGGTTGTGCCCTGACTACTGCATCTGCCAGTCACTCAAATGAGTTCCTTAGAGGAGCCCATGTCACATCTTTGTTCTCCGAACCGATGTAAGAAATAAATATTCCTTTTCCAGAAACAATGGCTACTACCGACCACTGTGGATAATCAAGGCCTTCTAAATGCTGGGATGTTTTCACAGCAAATGCAGACAACTCTGCAGGAAGATAGAACATTAATGAGCCAATTAATAATATTTATGCTAGAGCACAGTATTTCCATTCCTTATCATCAAAAGGGGTCCTGGTGGCACAATGGTAAGTATATGGCTGCTCAAATGAAAAGTTGCCAGTTCAAATACCCAGCCACTGTATGGGAAAAAAAGACATAGCTGTCTGCTTCACTATGATTAGGGTCTTGGAAAACCCTATGAGGCAGTTCTACTGTGTCTTATACAGTTGCTATGAGTCTTACCACAACAACATTATTATCAAACACATCTTGAACACACAACTGCTTTCTTGCTTATAAAATCTGAGGCAGGGGACGTGGGGGTGGGAGACCCAGGAGGGCATGATCAAGGGGAATGTAACAAACAGGAAGTGCTGAAATCCTGGTGGGGACTGAGCATGATAGTGGGACAGGAGGAGAATCATGGGAAATAGAGGAAAGAGCTGGGAGG